CTATAGTTCATTTAATGCTGCTATTATTATTATTTATTTAAAAATAACTATAAAATTAATGACTAAAAAATAAATGGCAATATTTAATGCTCCAAACAATTTGACTTAAAAAATTAAAAACTTATACTGAGAAAAGTTTTTTCGAAAAATAGTGTAAATATTTATTAAAATTTTATTTTTAAATGGTTTTTGACAAATTATTGAGCTTAACTTACTAAAGCTAAAGTTTTGGCAGGTTTTTTGAAATTTGAAATATTATTGTAAATTAATCTTTTTAAGTCTTAACAAATATACTAAATTTATCCAATTTTTTGTTTTTTTTAAAACATTTTGTTCAATCTTTGCATTTATTTATTGCATTTAATTTCTGTATTCGAAATATTATTTACTTTTGCTCATAAAAATTATTATTAACAGTCTTTTTATGATTCAATTAAAAATTATTAAGGATAATTCAATTAAAAATTATTAAGGAATCACAAAAATTTATGATAATTATTGTCGAATTTTAACTGTATTTAATTTTTTTTGCAGAGCTTCGAATTTGTCATCAATAGAAATTTGTAATTCACTTATACTTATTGAGAGTAAGATTTAACTTATAACAAGTTTATTAGAGTATGTAAAAACTAAGAATACACAATCCATTGATTAATTAAATTAATTAAAGTCATAACTCAGTTAATTAAAAAAGCAGGTCTAATTTTATACATATAATCAAAACTCTTAAATTCCCATATTTTACTGAGATGAACAGCAAAGAATAATTAAATTTAATACATTTGTACAATAAATAAATGTTTTTATACCTAAACATAATAAATTTATTACTTAATTCAATATTTGAATTTGAAATGGAATTGATATCAGAAATTTTTTAATCCAATTTTCATTATTGTCGATAGAATCTCTTTTTTTCAAATTTTAATAGCTATTTTTGTGTATTTGTAATAAAATTCATCATTTTTTTGCTGATAAATAAGAATTATGCTTCAATAAAATTCCTAAAACCATTGCATCAACAATAATAGTATCTGCTGGTTACATCGTCACACACACTCACACACACACACACACACACACATGCACACACACACAGACATACACACATGCACTCACACACACACACACACATACATACATACATACATACACTCACAAAAACATATATGTACACGGAGACACAAATCACAGAAGACTGCTTGGTGGGTTTAGGTGTATTTTGTTTTACAGGCTTTGAGAATACGTTCTCTGCTCAGTGTGCACAAAAAGTTGATTTGTGGTTACTGAAATAATTTTTAATGCTTTAGCGAATGAAATTAATTTGTACTCATTTAAATTCATTTCTGATTATTAATTAATAATCGATTTTAAGCTTAACAAAATTTGTACCATTTGTATATTACGTTGAGCACGACTTCGTTTAAATGATTCCGAACAAAAAAAGCTAATCGAATGCTTTCACAAATTTGATAACTTATGTCGATAACGTAGCAAGAAGCCTGTTTATTTCACGCTTTTGAATTTACTCCATCAGAGATTTGAAGTTACGCAACAACTTATTTGTATGCATTATTTGATTCACTTGCGATAACAATCTTTCCACTACTATTGTTATTATTTACGTCGTTATTATTTATTTAGATCACACCGCCAGGATTACTGCACTTTATTACTATTATTATCATTATTTATTCATTTGTTTA